TTTCCTTCCTTCCTTCGTTCCTTCCTTCCTTCCTGCCTGCCTTCCCGCCATCCCCCGGAGGGACGAAAAAAAAAAAGGCCAAAAAAAAACAGAAAAAAGGCCAAAAAGAATAGGGTCCCCCGGATTCTCACCTCGGACATCCTGCTGCTGGAATCCAAGAAGAAGGCGCGCTGCGAGAAGCCGAGTAAGGGCGGCAAGTGCCCTTGGAACGAGATCTTGACTCACTCCTCTGTCGCATTTCGCGCCACAGCTCCTCACGCCCTGCTGCGCCTTCGCGAGCAGAGTCTTTGGAGATCGCTGCATCGAAGCGCTGTCTTGCTGGAGGCGTGATGTTCTGGATCGCACGGCCAAGCCTCCCGGAGCGGCGCAAAGGGCTGTCGGCATCCTGAGACTCTCAGATGCCGGGGAGCAAACGCGTAGGTGTAGGCCAGAGGCTTGCCCGGGACGGACCAAGCCTCGCAGAGCTCGAGTCAACAGATCTTCTGGCTCTGCTCCGGGTCTGCGCCTGCTGAGCCACCAGAGCCTCCAAAGCGCCACGCACTCCAGCGTTGACCTGCAGCTCGCTCAGAGAAGCCAGAACCATGCCATGGAAAGCCCGCGGCGGGTGTCACCATGCAGTGCCAAGCACTGCCGTCAGAAGTCTTCGTGCCTCGGCAGAACTCTATGCATAACTGTACAACTGTATAATAACCTACATGGTTTCGCGGGGTGTGCACGCAGTTTGACAGCTTCGCCTCGGTTCCAGGAGCCGTGCTCTGAGGTCCTCTTTCGACTTGGCTCGTCTCCTCAACCACCTGGCCGCCAGCCGCTTTTCAACACCGTCAAAAGCTCGCGACCGTTTGGAACCGAAAACCTGTGAACAGGCGCGAGGCAGGCCTTCACCTGTCGCAGCTGTGAAGACGGCTGGGCGGGTACACGCTTGCCTCCAGGAGAACAGGTGAAAAACAGGTGAACATAGGTGGCTCAGGTTCGCTACGCATGCTCAGTCCATCTCAGTTCGAAACTGAAGTCGGCCACTTCAGCAAGCCCCTGGCGTAAAATTTGAACCTTCGGCTTTAACATGTCAAGGCCGACTGCCATGCTTTATGCCATGTCATGAATTTCTCGACTCTCGAACTTTCATGCTAGAGAGAGAGTTCAACATTGGTTTCAGGCCCTCGCCCGCGGCGAAAAGGAACGGGCCCGCCCAGTGCCTGAGCTCAGAAATGCTCAGATCTTCAACCCTTCTTTGGGAAGACTCGAAACCTCTGGCCTGAAATTCCCGAAACATCTGCTGATGGGCGGACCTGACCAGGCTCTCCACAGAAGCATTACCGGAGACATCCGACGAGCAGAGCACCTTGCCTGCGTCGGTCTTTCTGGGCACCTGGGCGAAGCCTTTTGCCTTCCCGAGCAAGGTTTCGAACTGATGCTGCAGCACCCTGCAAACACACACACACACACGCACACACACACACACAGAGAGACCAGCTCAGAACAACACAGATTCAGATGCTGCTTCTTCGCTTGTCTGGCGCTTCTAATCTCCCTGCAGATCAGGGGTCTCTGTCCCGCCGACAGCATGCACATCGGCACGGGCATGGACACGTCCATCAAGACATGAAAGCAGGTGTCCGACTGAAGATAAGCTTGCTGTGCCAGCATCTCGCTCCGAAGAAACCTGCCAGCATGCTTGATTCCAAAACGTTGCAGAACACAACAAGAAAGCAAAACTGCAATCCAGAAGCCTCAAGTACGCCTGCCTCGAGTCTTGGCCTAGGCCCAGGCAAACTTCCACAACTTGTCTGCAACACTGCACTCTGCTGTCGCAACCCTTTGTTTTTTGTCTTTACTGCCACACACCCCGACCAGCTCAGCGGCCAGGAGAGGGGAAGAGGGCGTGATTCATCTTGCCCTCCAGGGGTCTCCCATCCCCTGAAACCTCAAGCTTTCCAGGCCTCACTTCCCAATGCTTGCACGAGCCACCCCCTCTGATGTACCAAACGGTGAATACAATCCACAGGCCCAAGCGGGTGTCCATCTCCATGGTTTCAACAGACACAGGCCACTTCTGTAGGATTGGGTACCCATGGCAAATCGAAAAACATGGATGCAGCGAGCTACGGAAGACAGGCGTACTGGGTCTGCGTCAAAACGCATCCGAGCGACCATTAGATCGTGCCTGCAACGCTGCAGTGCCGGCTCTGCAAGCGGAGCGAACAAGCCAGGGTTTAGCTTCTTCGGCTTGAATCTGCAGTACATTGCAACCAACATCGACGCTGCACGAACAATGCTCACTCTATCCGACTGATAACTACTTCACGACTTTGGACAAGTTCAAACCAAGGCGGAAGGGACGCCTCGGTCCTGGAAACCACCCTTTGGCTTCCATCCTCCTGCAAGCTTCGAAGGCTCGACATGAACTTGAGTCAAGGGAGTCTCTTGCAGCGGCTCGTGGTGTTGAGGTGTGATCCAAGGATGCGGCATCCAGCGAAGCTGTGATCGTTAAATCACGCGGATGACCCTTCACCTGCACGTTCTCTGTCTGCGAGCTCTTTGCGCACGCTGTAACTTTGGATCATGTATACACGAGGAGAGTTCTGCTTGAGGGCTGACCATGCATGACCTTTGAAAACGCTGTCAACATGATTGCGAGGCCTCCGCCCTGCAAGCTGCGTGAATGGGACTGCCGCTCAAGGGCCTCAATGGCAGATGCAGATGGATCAAGTTGTGCAGGCATGGATGCCTACCCATTCTTTGAAACTTTGCCGAAACTTCTTCTAGTGGAAGTATCGGCCCCGGGTGTCATCCAAGGTCGCGACTCCGAGGCTAAGGGCTCCACTGGCACCGACGCCTAGCACCAACATGCGGTGCCAGAGTGCTACCATCAATCTGCGAGCAGTGCCCGTGCACCTCCTTTGTCTTCGGAGAGTCTTCGACTTCCCAGATCCCCTGACCTTGCAGGGCCTCAGTGTACGGGACCGAGAGGCCGTGACGTTTCGAGTTTGCAGGGTGCATCTCTCAGGACCTTGCCCGCCGGAAGGCACCATTACTTCCAGGCGGATCTAGGAATGTGACCTCGAGAGTTTTGCAAGTGATCTTGTCAGAGAGTGGCGCGACCCGCGACAACTCGGCCTTGCGTGGAAGTGCTTCATCCTGCGATCTTTGCCACGGCCGCTCCGAAACCTCCGGTCCCTCCGGTCCTGGCTGGGCACCCTGGCGCAAATGGATCCCTGGGGCCGCGGGGACCGGTCTAGCACCCGCAGCGCACGCAGCCGAAACCGCCACGCCGGCTCTCGCTACAGAGCTCCCGGCAGAGCCCGCGCCGGGACGGGCGGAAGAGAAGGGTTCATAGTTGCAGGCGCCCCACGCTCCACGGGCTTGATGTGCAATCATCTCCGTCTGCTGAGTCGTGGCTTCTGTGCTTTGAACCCGAGCCTGCGATGGCGAGGCTTGGGTGGCCTGTGCGTGTCTCGGCGTGAGGCCCAGGAGTCTCGCCCGTACCTGTGGATCCAGCTTTGGCTGAAGCAGCTCGCCGGACCTGTCCGGCGACCCTACGAACAGGCCTCCCGGGTTGATTTGGCTTTGGTTCCCTTCACCAGCTGGGAAAGTAGCGGCTGAATCCGCGGCTTGGCTTGCAGACCGTTCAGTGGTCTCCTCGCTTTTGACGCGATCCTCTGCTTTCGTCTGTGCTGCTGCCAGCTTTCCCTGGAATTGCTCCTCTAGCTCGTGGAAACATTCCTGCAACTTGTACCTTTCTTTCTCATGCTCACTCGTCCAAGTCTGCCTTCTTTTCGTCAACTCTTGGTGCCACTGCTCTTCGAACTCCTGCTTCTGTTGTTGCTGCCATGTGTATCTCCTCTCCATCTCGGACTCAAACTCCTTGAAGTATTGGGCCAGCTCAGCTTGTTCCTTTGCCAGGAGCTCTCGTTGCTGTTGTTGCTGCTCTGTAGACTTCTTCCGCTCATTGTCCAGTTCCTGCCATTGCCTGGCCAAGTCTTCGTGCGCTCGCTCAAGCTTCTCCACAATCTGCAGCTGCTGCTTCTCGAACTCCGTTCCCTTATGTAAGAGCTCCTCACGCAGTGCATCCTCCAGCTGGAGAACGTCCAGTAGCTGCGGGACTTGCGAGGCCACTGCTTCGCTTGCATCTGTCGTTTTCCGTACTCCACCCGGCTCTACTGGAGCCTGTGGTGGTATTCGCTGCGGGTCTTTCAACGACTCCTCGTGCGGCTCCGTGAATTTCGGCAAAGTCTCCTGAAACTTTGGATAAAGGCTGCTGCTGGCCATCACTAGTATGCTGCGACGGTGTCCTCGTCAGGCTGGCCAGAACTCACGCCTGCGTCGAGGTATGTGCAATGCACGGGGCAGCCAACTTGATTCGACGAGACGATTCGATTGTTTGGTTCTAGGCGGCCTGCAACTTCCCACATGCATCCGCCAACAAGCCGTTAGCACTGCTTCGAAGGCGTGCTTCAGTTGCGCTCTTGGGTTAATGAGACATCGATAACTACCCGACCTTTGTCGTGGTCACTGAGGTCACAGACACTGACTGTGGCATAGCAGAGAAATGAGCAATCATGGTCAATATGATATCTGTGGTGTGGAGGTTCGTCAGAATGTACCCAACATGCGCCCATGTCCTCCAGACAACTGCGAATACTGTTTTGCACAGCAGTAAGCGAACTTTGACTCTTGACTTGAAAGAAAAACTGCTTAACTCGCTTGCAACCCATCGCCATCTCGAAGATTTGCAGCCCTGCCCCTGAAGTGACCGAGACACCTGGGAGCTGAGCAGCTGCCCGTGCCGACCTGCGAGCATTTGGAACAAACCGATGAACCTTCAGCGCCGCTTCTGGGGCCGGTGCAGGCTGTCTGCTGCCGGGAGTGGACCGCGTCCGGCACAGGCCTTAGATGTCGCAGAACACGCACGCCACCTCTTTTGCAGGCCGACGAAAGAACAAGGACAGCGCACTCAAGTCAACCACTGGCAAGAAGGAGCCTTGACTTGAAGTAACTCCTTCATCAACCTTCTGCGAGTGTCACTGCCAGAGATGCATTTGCAACGAGATCGCCCTGCCTGCTCTGCCTGACCGTCAGGAACCGACCTGAAGACAGCCACAAAGTCCCTGTGAGATTTGAGAGCCATGGCCGCCGTGGCTGCCGTGGCTGCCGTGGCTGCCGTGGCTGCGGCTTCTCTCCAGTCCATGCGCCCGGGCTGGGGCCACCTCGACAAGGCGTCGTCGGCGAAAAAAGCCCTGAGTTCCCGACTACTCCGGCTCGCAGGCCTTCGGCCGCATGGGATGCCTCGGCCTTCATGCGAAGGAAGGGGCGAAACCGGAAAAGAGATTCAATGCTGACCTGCTCCGACCCATGTCGGCGGCCTGAGGCACCTGCTACAAGCGGCAAGCGATGAAAGAACACGCGTCTGCGCCGTCTGCGGTTTGCAAGGATCCTCTGGCCACTGGCCTCCTCGATGCGCTGGCGAGGTTCCTGCTTGGTACCGGCCGAACCCCTGCAGGGAACGACGAAGCATGCACCGTCTTTTTTTTGCCCAGCAGATGCAGGCACGACAGCAGACCACAGCACCGAGGACAGCAAGCCTGATCCGTTGATGCGGCAGAAACCGCGGCCGCGGCAGCTGCGGCTGCCACCTCCACAGCTGCAAACCTCCTGCTTCTCGTTTGAAGTATATTCACGGCTAAAGTGCAGGATTGAGGCCTCCATCGCCAGGACGACAGGTGGCTGTTCTGCTCTCCTTGCTCTTCGCTGCGCTTCACCGAGCAGCTCAGGCCTGGAAAGGAAGTGAGGTGATGTGTTCCAAACCCTCGACTGGCTTTTGAGTCTCCGACGCCAGGCCCAAATTCAGGAGCGCTTCGGTCGACATTGCGCCGGAAGCCGTTTCACGTGAGCCTGCAGTGCACTGAGGGAAGAGCCTTTCCGCGCTCGATGCACAGAGGTTCATTGCCTTCACGTTCCCGGAACACGGGCGAAGTGGCCTAGAGCCGCAAACATACCAAAGCCCAGTTTGAGCTTGTGGCTTGTGATGGCTTGGGAAAGCTCTGCGTCGGCTGTGTCCACCGTCAGCGGCTGTGTCGGAAGCTGCGAGTTGATGCCTCGGCCAACGCAGCGTTGCCCCTAGCCTTCGCCGTGGCAGTGAGACCACGTGAGACCATGTAGCTTGCCTTGGCTTCTCATAGCTTCTGCAGGGATGGCCTCGGTGCCCCTGGCTGCAGAGGCAGATATGAATCCTGACACAGTTCAAGCAACGGAAGCTCGCCTGAAGGTGCCATCTGCCACGAAGTCCTCCGCAGGATAGATACACATCGGAACGGTAGCTTGAACAGGACTGATGCCAAACAAGCCTGTGTCGAGGCTTCTGCACTGCGCCTGCAAGCTCCGCAATACGTCGTCCGGGACATTATCTCATGAGCATAGGTTGAACTCACAAGCTTGGACAAACCAAAGGCGATGAATGGACTCTTTCACACTAGAATCCGATGCAGTACAGACCCGTCACGGGACAGCTCCCAGTGGCCTGGGCGTGCAATACATCACCTCATCGCCATCTGCTCCTGCGACACCAGGCCAACTGCAAAGCTTGTTTCTGCGTGCTTCCGCAGTCCTTCAAGTGCAAGACCTGTGGAACGATCTTGCTTCAGGGCCGCAGTTTCAGACCTTCCATGGTGTATTCCCAATGTCTTTCCGCAGCACTCTTATGCTAAAGAAGCCACGGCCGCGGCCAGCGCCGTGCATCCCTCAGCATCCCGTCCAAGCCTCCGGTGCTGCAAGCAGCTCTCCCATGCTCTCCGAGTTCAAGCTCGAGAGACGGGTTGAGACGAGACCGCGGCTCTGCAGTGAAGGGCTCAACAGCGACATCCGGTGCCAGTAACCTTGCCGACGGCCACAGGATGCGCTGCCGCCATGACTCGCGCGCTGAGAGATCTTTGGGCATCCACGATCTCGCAAGCTTCGCGGTACTGAGTCGTAGCCGTCCTCACAAGTGAAACATAGTGCTATGTTCAACGGACTCTGAGCTGTCACCACTAGAATTCTGCAAACTACGCGGAACGTGCGGCGTGAGAAAGTCGAGGTCGTCACAAAGTCGGAAGCCACAGCTACCCGCAGAGCAGAACGTCACTGAGCTCCGAGACTCCGGCACTGATGGAAGCGAAGTCTTCCAGGGTTGCACTTGCTTCCCATGTCCTGGTACTCAGTTACTCGCAGTCCACAGGAAAGCCGAAACAAGGCTGGCATGTGGACAGAGAGCTCAGCAAATACTGAGGTCCATGTGGGCAACTTCTCTGCAAACGGATAGAAGGCGATGCCTGCCCATCAAGCAAGATGCGAGAGGAAGGACCCCTCGGTGTATCGACACTCAGCACCCCGCTGAGGGGATTGTTCCGCAGATCCAGATGCCTGGGATGCTGGTCAGAAGGAAAATGCTTTGCAAGCGCTCGTCCGCTGTGCCACGGGCACACAGCACGACACACAGCGTGACACACAGCATGACACACAGCGTTCCGCAGTGCAACCGGAGCCAGCAATCGCCGGAGAAAACAGGAACTAATCCCTGATGGAACTAGAACCAAGCTCAGGATCGAGAATGGGTGAATGCCTCTCGAGTTTCCTGCTACACTCAGGCCTCTGGCCAATCCTGTGGTCGATTTTGGCATCCCATACTGTAGTGACTGTAGTGGCCCTTACCTCACCGTTGTGCACGACTGCGCCAGCAGCATTACAAATTTTCAAGGACTTAGACGAGACTTCGAGATTCGAAACCCGAAGCTGCGGACTTCTTGGCAACAGCCGGAGCCTTTGAGACAAACCTCTGGGAAGCCGAAGGTCGTCGATGTTCGGTGCTAGTCTTGTCGGCATGTAACAAAGACAGAGGGCCCCACTCCAAGCTCAAGCCACCGGCCATTTCCATAGTCTGGGCAACATCCTTCCAAGCGCAAAGTCGACACAACTTCCCAAGCTTTGCCGCGGCCGGTCCTCCACATCGGCGATCTCGTTGCCTCGGAAGCCCCAAGTGAGCCGCGCGGTGAAAATACAAGATCGGAGCTCACCTTAGCCTCATGCCATTTAGCAAGAGCACTCGCAGCGGTCGCAGACTCCAACGCAAAGAGGGCCTCCAGAATTGCGACCCGAATATCGCGGAGGAGGTTCCAAGTCGGACGAGATGGCAATCACGCTGGGTCAGTGACTCCAGCGCACGCAGTTGATTCTGCGAAGCGTCCAAGAATGTGAGGCTGCGCAATGGTGAAAGCGAGACTGGCGTCAAGCAGTGCCAGAAAAAGGCGAGGGAAGTTCACCACCGCATACCACCGCCAGCCTAGCGATGTGAGCTGGTTGCCACGGACGACCTTAGCAGACCAAGCACTCGTGTGGCCCCAGGGCCCCGCGCTTCCTTTGGGGATGAAGCGAGAGACGCCAGGCGAGGAGCTCCTGCCAGGTGCAAGGCCTCGCTACCCAGGCAGCGGGATGGGGGGCCAGGGCCATGGCTCTCTGAAAAAGGAATCCTTTGTGTGCGCAGGTCTTGTCAAGCAGAGGGATGCAAAGCGCGCAGATGCGCCTGGGAGATGTTGTTGGACGCCAAATCCAGCTCCGTCACAGAAGGCAGCTGAACCTGGATCCACAGATTCCTTCTTGCTGGGATGCAGGTGAATTCATAGGAAGTCTGGGGGAAAAGCTGCACTGATTTCCTCGATGGCGTTGTGAGCCAAGCGAAGGGTCTCAAGTCGAAAACGAGATGCAGCTTATCACCATCTCTTCGAGCTGCTTTTGCAGTTGAGCAATGTTGAGGGGCAGTCCTGCAGCATTGAATGCTCCAGCAAGTCCTTGCGAGACTGCAATTTCTTTGATGGTTCGTCGGCCGCTGCATATTCCTTATATCATACAGCTACAGCTGCAACCAGTGGACAGAACCTAGTGGGCAAACTCTTGTGATGGGGAAGTCTCCAGTCTTAACGTGGAGCTAATACGGCCTGGTCTTCCCCGTTAGACGGACGCACACCGGAATGATGGTCTACGCTAAGCAATCTTGAACAATCGCAGCAGGTGGGCTTGCAGAACAATTTGCAGTCTGCCCAACTTCCCTTTGCACGCATGGCATGGGCAAATCACTTTCAGCAGTAGGTCAAAAGACCGCGTCCCAGGGGAGTTAGGTCTCCGGTCCTTGCAGGACAGAAGTGCGTTGCCGTCCAGCATCATCTCAGACAAGTACGGGACTGCCTGAAGCAAGTTCTGAAGACGGGGACTTGCAAGGAAGAATGTGCTGTCGAAATACATGTGCTGTGCCTTCAGAGAGGAAACCCTCTGCAGACAACATCCACGCAGGTCTATCACCTTCACTGTGCGGAAGCGAAAGAATGCATGTCGCCACAAGTACTTTGGCAAGGCCTCCAGGCTGCAGTGGACGCAGTGCAGAGACGTCACGTTGAGGCCGGTGGCTGTAAGGCTCCGCAGCCTCGGCGTGGCATTAAGTTGCGGGTCTTGCTTCGCTGGCAAGTAGCTGCAGAGGGACTTACTGCGAGTATTGAGGCTTCAGCACTTGCAGTGACATCGCTGCAGTCACATCACTGAGAGCTGCATTTGCCGAGATGTTCAAGACCTGAGTCCCGAGACCAGGGCAGCTGGGGCCAGAAAATGGACCGAAGGACCGGGCCTCCAGGGCCGGGAAGGCGCGGCTTTGTGCCAAGGCGGGTGGCGCCTCGCAGCTTCAGAGAGCCGCGTCCCTCTCGTCTCGGAGCCGCTGAGCCGGCGGCCAAGAAGAGCGGCCCAAGATCGCGGACGTGATTCCTGTGAGGGAAAGGTGGTAGAGCACTCCCACGGCCAGTACAACCACCAAACCAGGAAATGACCGGGAGACTAGATTGTGCCCACCAGCAGACCCACGGACCAGCAAGCGACCACATACCACCAAAACTCAACCACGGGACAACGAGGGCACCACCGCCAAACGTCTTTCCCCAGGTACTGCCGAGCAGGGGCACAATGCAACTGACGGGATTCAGGAGCATGCCCAAGATGCTTTCCCCAAACAGTAGCAAACGCAGGCGCACGGCCAAAAGTACTGGCTGCAGTCAAAGATTTCGGAGACAAAAGGTGGCCCATGTGTTGGAGTTTACAATGAATCTTGCCTCCTGCATAATGAGATCACAGTGCGTACCACACCACATCGGAAGCAGCATCCCGGGGAAAGTTTCTCCGGCGCACGAAGAGCAAGCACGCTACCCAATTCTCTTTACTCCTGCCGATAGAACTCCAGAGTCTGCGCCGCACGGTGAAAAAGGGGAAAGTCGAGGACAGGGAGATTTAGCGACTGTCCTGGAGATGTTGAGGACCCTGAGGGCTGGCAGCGCTGCCAGCGGTGCTAAGGCGTCCTCATTTAACCTCGGCTCGGCAATCACGGCGAGCCTCACGTACGATTCCCCTTTGCCTAAGTTCCAGGCTTATTGGCTGCAAGGTTGATCTCCTCCAGCGTCACGCACGCCGCAATCTCGGCAGAAGCATCAAAGCCGCGATGGACTTCAATGAACTTGTGAGGGAGAAGAACATGCCAGTGGCGCAGAACCCAGGCTTCTGAGACGGTTTCCGCTGATTGACAGCACCTCCGACAAAGGGTCACTTCCCGACGCAAGCTGACGGACCCCAATCTCATCTCACGAAAGTTCGTAGCAACGAGCCCGTTGTTGCATCAGAGCCTTGATTCCAGGCGGTGTCTCCACGATCTTGCGGATACCCAATCCGTCCAAATGCAATTCCGTCTGTGCCTGGGCTGCGGGAGGCTTAACGACGCAATGCTTCATGTCGGGAAGGAAACTCAGGATTCTTCCATTGCAGTGTACAACCATGAGCTCTGTTGGATCAGCGCATTTCCTTTCAAAGTCGGTGCCGCAAAGCCAATCAGACGAGGGGTGTGTCGGGGCCTAGTGCTGAAACACACCGCGCATCGCAATCTCCTTTTCCAGCCTCTATACAGGTGCTCTGGCTTGCTTGCTCTTTGATCAGTCGGATACATGTACCATATCAGTCTGGTCTCAAATACCTCACTATACAGCTTAAGTTTGTATAGAGGCCACTTAGCGGCCAGACCTCTGCCTGCAACCTAAACCCTCTGTACTTGAGCCGATCAATCTCTTGAAAGTCTTGGCATGTCTCATCTCAAAGTGATGTGTCAGAGGACGACCGGCCCGGATACTCTCCTTTCTTGGGCCGATACATTCACGGCCCTCCACCGCTTCAACCTGCTCCGCTCCTTTGAGCTTTTTTGCTCAACAAAGCAACAAGGCAACGATGTCCTGAACTGACCACAAATGGCACCATGACCCGAGTTAAGAGAACTTGACGTTGACTTGCCTTGGGCGTTTGGTACACGCTTTCGCTCTCTGAAGATCCCATCCTGACTCCCTTTTCTGATGTTCTCGCCTCCTCGGGGCGATCCTATTCTAGCACATTCCGCCCAGCAAGCCGTCACTTGAAGAGTCAGTCTCGAAGGAGGCCTCGTCTGCGTAGCACATGGACCACTTCTCATGGAGGGCCTCCAGCTCGGTCGTGTACCTTTCCATTCGATCCTCCGACTTGTTCACGATTTTGCGAAGAACCTTTTCCATCTCCTTCGGGTTTAGATACCTTGCGAGCTGCACTGGGAACTCGGGGAAGGTACATGCAAAAAACTAAGCCACTTGCAAACCTCTTCCTTCACGAACTACTCATTCGCTTTTTAAGTACAAGCTGCCTCTCCTTGAATGTCAAATACCAGAAAGTTGACAGGGCGTAGCAACAGGTGGCAGCAGAGGCCACGACTGAGATCCCCAGGAGCAATTTTTGCGCCCATGGCATGATCAAATCAAACTGCGATGAATTTACAAACCAGATCGACATGCCCAGGAGAAGAATGTAATTCAGCAACTGGCGAATGAGTGATTTTTCCGTCGTGTAAATATAGTAAGGATTCCGAGTAGCCCTCGCTGTAGGTTCGCAGAACCACTCATAAACCATGTTCCACAAGCATACATTGGTACCAACAAGCATGAAAGTGCGCGCGATGAGAAGCGCCAGCCAGATGTATGTCGGAGTATCACCGTGGCTCCAGGCTACATAATGCTCGCCGATGCCGGTCCCAAAAAACTGCACATATGCGCGACCGATCGCATAACCTGCAAGTTGAGGGAGCTCAGCTTCACACCAATGAAACATGCGTAGACATAAAGTATACCTTTGCAGCAATCCTAGAAGCAGCAGCAGTATCCTAGTAGCAGCTGCAGTAGTAGCAGTAGTAG